TGCTGAATTAATTATAGTAACTTATTAATCAATTATCCGTAAAAAAGACAAACTGCAAAATATACAACTTTCGTCTATATCGTTTTTAACAATAACTTTTATTATTATACAATTCATAAACATAAAAGAATAAATTGACACATTTTCACTTCTTTTATTTTTTTTTATTATTATTATTTATTTCTGACAATAAAAGTGAATAAATTTTACTCTTGACACTTCTCCGGAAACGTTCTTCATTTCCGGAGTAAAGCAGAAAGCGTTTCGCATTTTTATGTTCTTTTGTTTCCCGTTGAGTAAATTACGAACATATGCTTATCGTTTAAATATTGCGTTTTTTTGGTTTTATCAGAAGAGAATTTTTCTCATCTGAAAAAAAATGTTTCAAAATATATTAGAAACCTTTGCATTTTTATTGAGGGGTACAATTTATTTTTATTTCATCTCTAATCTGCATAAGGAGCGCAACTTTTGCTTATTCTAAAAATTCTAACCGCGTTTCTTATAGTAAGAAACTTGTCGAAAGCAATGAAAAACAGTTTAGTAGTAATAATAATAATAATAATAATAATAATAATAATAATAATAATAATAATAATAATAATAATAATAATAATAATAATAATAATAATAATAATAATAATAATTATTAATAAAATAATAATAAATGAAAATGGGTAAATAAAAATACTTTTTCTAGGAGGAAGCAATAATGAAATAACAATATTAAAACAAAAAAAAATAAACTGTAATAAATCAGAAACACCTGACAAATTGCAAATTAGTGTTTGATAAAGGAGACGATGCTTTGTTTTACTTGAAACTAGGAATGAGAATAATTAACAATTAAGTGCTAATGTGGGATTTAATAGGCAATTATTTGCGAAAAAATCTAAATTGTTCTTTTCTTTAAACATATTTAAACTAATTTGTAGTATATTATATTTATTCTATTAACTGTGTCAACAGTAAAGGTCAAACTTTTGCATAATTCAATTGTAGAAAAGTCTCTTGTTAAAAAGTAACAGTTCAAATATTCGCTATTTTTTTGTTATTGTTAATAGTTTGCTCAAACGTAGAAAAAATTGTTATCTTAATAATTAATTAATTCGTTTGATTTAACGTAAACAACATAGGAGAACATAGTCAAGGGTTGGACCACATTTTTATTTTTGTTTATAACTTTTATTAAAAAATAAATTTAATAGACAATTGTAATATACTTTTGGAAAAGTGAATGTTTTATGATAAATTTATAAAATTTATGGGAAAAATAGTAAAAAAAAATTTTTTAACTGGAAACATTTATTTATTGTTAATAAAGAAAGAAGTATTTTTTAAACTAAATAATTTCTTTTCGAATGTATTATTTACTTTTTAATTTTTTACATCACGTAATATTGCAAACTTCTTGTGGGTGAGCTCACATTGTTTGGTGACCTACTTTGTTTAGTGTAACTTTTCCTATTCCTGCCCGTGCTTTCTTGTCAGTTTGAAAGAGTAACCAGTTTACGATTATGCAGTGCGATAACAAAGCACATATAATTATTACCTTTCACATCAATCTGATTTAAAACTATTTTATTTCTAATAATAGGAGACGATTTTTTTCATTCAAACTGCTTTATTGATTTTTTAACTGCTCCCCAGAGCGTCATTTATTAAGCTGCTCATTTATATTATTATTAATATTAGGTACTAGCTGTCGTACCCGTCTTCGACGGGTTTTAGTTTCTACCAATACATTTAAGTTTCTACCAATCTGGAAAATCAGGAAATAGCTAGGGAATTTAATTTGACCGGAAAAAAATAATAATTAGTTACCATTATAGCTATTTTAGTAGGAAAATATTACTATTTGAATCAGTGATTGACTTTTTGTTATCAAATTAGTTATTTTAACCAATTCAAATGCAGAGAACAATATTTATCAATTTGTAGTACTTTAATTAATGTATTAAAAAAATTAAATTTTCCATACAGTTTTTGGAGTTATAGTAGAGTCTAATTGGAACTAATTGTATCGCAAGTAGACCCTACGTTACGACTGCTAAAACCTAACATAAGACCTAAATTTTAGGCTGAAAGTAGGGCTTAAATTTTGACTCGGGTCTGTTTTCATAAATATTATACATCAATAAAAATTGAAGTAAAAAGCAATTTTTTAAAAGCGAATTAATATAATGAAACTTTTTCTTAATTTGATAGGAAAATTCCCGGTTCGGCATATTCCCAGCTTTTTACAGTTTTTCCCGTTTGGTAGATACCCAGTTAAATGTATTAGTATAAACAGAAAACTGTACGACAGCAAGTAATACAATCTATATTTATATGAACTTAAGAAACAGTATTTTCATAAAATAAGTAAATTTTTATAGCCATTTGTAGATTTATTTATGGATAAAATCAAGTAAATTTAAATTTGACAAAAAAGAGATAAACCGTGAAAAGTTTGGACAAAGCAGGGAATTTTGTTAAACAAAAATAGACACCGTGTTAACTTTTGTCTTTACATTGCTCAAAACATCTCTTAAAGTTAAATCTAGAGTTAAAATGAAAAAACGTTTTAACATGTAAGTTTTTGCCTAGTGGCATAATATGCTTGTATTGTATCACAGGTGACTTACAATTCTTGACATCCTGCGAAATCATTTTAATCATAAAAAATTTCCATTTTCAATATTTCTGAACTTCTTGAAAATATTAGATTGATTTGATAAATAATTTTGAATTGCACTATTTTGACATCAAAATATTAATCAGAGACTCCAAAAATACTACTGAATTATACTTCATATAGTAATTAGTATCGATTTTTTGATATATTGAAAATTTTTTTATATTTCTTGTAGGATAGTATTTTTTGCAAAATTATGATAAAATCTGACTAAATAACATATAATATTCATTTTTAGAAAGTTTAAAAGCTATCCATTAAAAATTGTGAAATTTGGAAATTTTCCATTTTTCAAGTTTTTGAAAATATTTTTATATTTACATCTTAGTTGTAGAATAGTATTTTTTGAAAAATTATGCTAAAATGTGACCAAATAACATGTAATACTCAAATATAGAAAGTTTAAAAGCAATCCATAAAAAAATGTAAAATTTTGAAATTTTCGATTTTTTGAAAACATTTTTATACTTACATATTAGTTATAGGACTTTATTTTTTGCAAAGTTATGCTATAATGTGACTAAATAACATATAATACTCAAGTATATAAACTTCAAAAGCAATCCATGAAAAATAAAAAATTTTGAAATTTTCGATTTTTTGAATTTTTTGAAAAAATTGAATATCTCCCGTTCTAATTAATATTTTTTAAATCTGTAAATTTATAAACCTTCCTTGGGTCAATACCTAATAACCTACCAAGTTGGACTTAAATCGATTCACATGTTTTTGTGTGATTGGGGTACAAAGTTTTTGTGACAGACAAACATACATACATACATACATACATACATACATACATACATTAAATTTTTTAAGAACATTTTTGGAATCTCTGATGTCCATAATAACTAATCATGTTAACATTTTGAAGTTTTAAGCAATGTACAGACAGACATCTGATTTTATTAATAAGGATTAATTATTAATTTATGCATTTTTTATTACAATTGCCAAGTTTCTTTAGACGAAATAGAAACTTTAGAATAAGCCAAAGTGGCGCTCCTTGCTGATAAACGTAGAAGTAATTTTTTTTATTTTTGTCTGTGAAATTAATAAAATAAATTGATTCATTATGTAGAAAAATTGAAAAAATTAATCATAAAATTACAAAAGTTAAAAAAATAAGAAAAGTTAATAAAAAAATAAAAGTAAATAAAATGATAAAAGTGAATAATAATAAAAATAAATACACTAAGTAGTAATAACTCGAAAGAAACGTTGCAAAAAGAAGAAGATAAATTTTCAAAAAGCTACCAATATTTTTTTATCTCCTGACTACTATAAAGTGTCATTGTCTATTCAATTATCAGTTTTTCAACTCGCTGTGAGAAGATAACGAAAATATTTTTAGGACTTAATGTATTATTTAACTGCGTCAAAGTAGAGTACAAGAAACAGAAGTGGAATATTTGCAATTGGCATTTATGTAAATTAAAATCTTCTTGTTATTGTGATTATTACTCAAGTACCAACTCGTGTTATAAAAAAAACGTCGAAAACGAAAGTTATTCTTGAAAATTCAAAGAAAATGTATAAATATGTATATTGTAATTCATTATTAATATTATAATAATTAATTGTAATAATTACTATTTAAATAATATTAACAATTGATTACAATTGATTTTTTTTGAATTTTCAAGAAGATCTTTCGTTTTCGTCGAAAGCTAGCTATAGTTAATTATTGTAATTAACTATTATAATCAATTATTATAGTATTGTAATCAACTATTATTAAATTATTATTATTATTAAATTTCATTCGAGTAAATTTAATTTAAAAAAAATTACTGAATCATTTTAGAGGAAACGTTAGGAAGGTTGTAATTTTCCGATAATTACCGCTGTGTGAATTTTACAAAAGTTTCATTACGTCTAAAGGTATTAAAACAAGAAACAATGAGATTGTACGACGACACTGCAATAAACTTGACGTAAAACTGAAAAGATCAATGACACTTTTTTAATGTCATTTCAACTTCCTTTGTCTTATCACTCATAAATAATACTATCTGAAATAAATACCTTATCCAAGGTTTTAAAATGTTAAATATTACTTTTCATGTGAGTAAAAATTATGCTATTGAACAGAAATTACACTTTTTTATAAAAAAAAGAAGGCATTAAATTTCTTTTAACAAGTGCCCTGTCGAAAACTAGCTACATCCCTACCAAAGCCCCATTTCAAGATAAAAAAGGGTAAAACAAAAATTTCGGGAAAATTTTAAACAAAAATGACCGAAATTTGAAAAATAATGCGTCAAAATCCGGTCTAGTTTTCTAAACATAAATAAATAAATGGAAATTCTTTTGATTACAGCCATGTCACTGGAGGAGTCTAGAAGATCACAACGTCCGTATAGATACGGTATGGTACTATTGTGTGTAGGAGCGTTAATTAATTGGTTGGGTCTCGCCGAAAATTACGTGGAACCTGTCAGATATGTCGGTGTAGCCTGCATTATTGCAGGAGCTTTACTGATATGCTGTGCTATGTGCTGTTGGCTTCATGCACCACCAACCAGAACTAGTACACACACTCATCATAATAGTCATCCAATAACTGCCCAGGTAAGATCTCTCTCGCAAAGATAATTACTTTCCTTTTGTCACTTTAATTTTTTTGTCAAAATCTTGCTTGTCCCCAATTTTATAAATTTAGTCTCAAACACCGCTAAAGTTGAATTCAAATTACAAAAAATTAAAAAAAAGGAATTTTTTTTGTATTTCTACTTTATTAAATTTGAATTTGGCGCCAATTTTCGTAAAGTCCAATAGGTGGCGAGGGAAATTTTTGCTCATAATTAAGACGAAGTACATGTACAGGGTATAAGCATCAGAGCTAAATAATTCAGGATTCCATATTTGATTTTAGTGACATTATTTATAAAGTACATTATTATATTGCTAATTAAGAGCTTTATTAATTAATTTTATTGTTATTCAAGTAAATTTTTAACTAATTATATTGATATTCACATATATTATTAATTAATTATATGGTTAATTAAGTATATTATTAATTAATTAAGTTCTTAATTAACAAATTATATTGTTCATTAAGCATATTGTTAATTAACTATATTCATAATTAATTATATTGTTTATTAAGTATATAATTAAATGATTACGTTGCTAATTAATTTCATTGTTAATTAAGAATATTATTAATTAATTACGTTGTTAGTTAAAAAAATTAATTAATTTTATTTTAAGTTAATTACGTTGCTAATTAATTATATTGTTAATTAGTTATATGATTAATTAATTTCGTTGCTAATTAATTGTATTAATTAGTTATATGATTAATTAATTACGTTGATAATTATGTATATTGTTAATTAAGTATATTATTAATTAACTGCATTGCTAATTAATTATATTATAATTATTAATTATTTACGTTGCTAATTAATAGTATTTATTAATTTTATCATAATAGTTAATTATGTTGCCAAATAATTGTATTGTTAATTAATTATACTATTAATTAATTACGATGCTAATTAATTTTATTGTTAATTAATTATCCTAGAAAAAACATCTTTCATGCAAAAAATTACGCCAAGTAAAACTTTTTTGTAATTGTCCAAACAATTACTGAAATGAAAGTTTACCAAGTGAAATTTATAACTAAAGTTTTTATATTGATTTATTTTATTAATTTTACTACTTCTATTTACGAATTAAGTCAGATTTCAAAAATTCAAAATGGCGGATCCAATATGGCTGACACAGACATATTGGATCCGCCATTTTGAATTTTGAAAAACCGACATCAGATTCGTAATCAGCGACCCCAAAAACCCCAGAGTAACGAATTTTAAGCGAATCCGATGAATTTTTCAAAAACGTGTCCGCCATATTGGATCCGCCATTTTGAATTTTTGAAATCAGACTTCAAATTCGTAATCAGCGACCCCAAAAACCCCCGAGTAACGAATTTCAAGCGAATCCGATGAACTTTTCAAAAATGTGTCCGCCATATTGGTTTTTTGAGGTTATGTCAAAATCCTGATCCACCCCTGTCCGTCTTTCCCAGAAATTAGTCAGCTTAGTGGTTTGCACTTTAATGTGCAAAAAAGTTCCTCGAGATGGCGCAGTACTCACTACTCGTCAGCAATATTCGTTACCTCATTCATTATTGTATTTGTTGTGTTGAAATCGGTTAGAAATCTCAACTAAATTTTATAAAAAAATGTGAAAGTAAAAAAAGTATTAACATTAAAAACTATTTTAATGTTGTAAAAAGAGCATATTGTTTAAAAAGTGAAAATGTTTTTAATAAGTAGCCGGCAAAGCTTGCCTTAGTTTAAAAATTTTAAAAAAAGTTTAAAACTTTTAAATTTTTATTTAATATTATATTTTTTATTCATTGTATACGTTCATGTTTGTTTTTGTCTTGAGTAAAATTTCATCTCAAATAATAAATAAAAAAAATGGATTAAAGTTAACCCTCCGTCACACACCTAGGGAGGGATTCCCTAGTAGAAATTTGTCGTGGCATGACTAGATTTATTCAAGTTACTGTACAGTTTTAGTCATGGAAGTTTAATCTAGCTTAACTGGCGAATTACTAGACAGCTACTGCATAACACTGTTAAAGAAAATATAAAGTTGAACTTGATTATTACTGCATAGAAGTCCTGTACAGTTATTTTCATGGCACTGTCGAGGCGTTCCGAGAAATGATGTTCCAAAGTTTGTCGTGGCGTTAGCGCTACCGCCAGTTTCAGTAACTAAACAGTTGTGTATTGACATTTTCGAAATATTTTCTATAAAATAAATCTTTTGGTTTTACAGTTTATAGTTTTTATAATTTTAATTTTGTTCTTTTATTTTACTGTTGACAACTAAATAACAAATTTTTTAAATTATTTAATATTAAAATTTTGATTTAATAATAAAAATTTCTTTTCAATCAAAATTTATTTTTAATGAAAATTCCTTTAGAAAAAAAAAATTTTTTTAAAATTCGCTTCAATTAATTGAGTTAATTAAAATAACTAATTTTTTAAATTCAGAAGACAATTTCTTTTCAAGATTATATACTCTTATTATATGTATAAATATTAATTTAACAAACCTGTTACATACAAAAAGTTAGAATTGGTCCAATAAAGTGAGGTTATGTTTTACATTGATGAATTGACGTTGACATATGTATAGCTCTCCGATCTGAATAACAGAACTGTCTATAATTAATGACAGTAGACAGTAACAATTTATTACTAATTCCTTACGGAAAAAATAGACATAATTCTAGTTACACCCGCGAATTATTTCTTTCAGTGTATACTCTGATGTATTTATGGAAAATGTCTACACAACACTGTTCAGTTGCTGGACTGACGGTAGCGCTAACGCCACGACAAACTTTGAAACATAATTTCACGGAACGCCTAGACAGTACCATGAGAATAACTGGACAGACAGAACTTCTATACAGTAATAATCAATAAGTTCAACTTTAGAGTGTTATGCAGTAGCTGTCCAGTAATTCGCCAGTTGAGCTAGAAAAGATGAAAAAGGGAACTGCTTTACCTGCCGGTAGAGTATGGTTCTTATTTTTCCGGAATCGTCCATCGACTAGAACGGCCGTGATGCGTAAAGCGTGCGTTTAGGTATTTCGTCCCAGTGTGACCCGAGTTCGCTCCCCGAAACCGCTAGATATTTTTCGTTTGAACTGAATTAATTCTTCATATTAGGGTTTACTTATAAGTTTGTAGTGTGATAAAATAATAATATTTATTTCAGTGTTGTGCTTAATTAAAGGAAAAAGTGAATGTTGTTTAATGTAAAAAAATGACATGTGTTCAAGAATCAGTAATTTTTATATTTTTTTTTAATTATGTAGTTATTTAAAAATAATTTTACAGATAATTTATTATAAATCATTTATTATACGGAACAATAGATACACCAACAGTAAAAATATAGTTTCGTAAAATTTTAATTTATTTAATTTGTTGACAAAAAAATTTAACGTTATATTTTCAAATTTGTACGTGTTTAATACGTAACGTCAATATAAAGAAAGTTTTGACATTTCCAAGTGAATTATTTTGTATAGTTTTTCTACAGGACTGATGATCAGAAACTGTAAAATTTGACTGGACAATAACTTGAAGAAATTAGCGTGACATCACTTTATAGTTTTTAGCCAGTTTAACTGTAAAGTGCCTCGAAATTTTCCAGTGGAACTGTCCAGTGCCCTTAAAGATACTATGACAAATTTCTACTAGGGAATTCCCTCTACGGTTTCAGTATTTTTTTAATAACTTTTGTTTTCCTCATTGCAAAATAAAATCAGTTTCTATACCTTTCGACAATTTACTCCTTAACACATTTCTAAAAAAACATTTAGTTTAAACATAATTAATATTTAATTATGAAGCTTCAAAGCCAGAAGAAACTCGAAAAAGTGAGGTTATGTTAAATAAAAAAATCAAGTTTTAAAAACATTTTTTGTTCCACTGTTGGTTGATGACAAAATTATATTATAAATATAATTAAAATTAATTGTTTAATGATTTTTTGCTTATTTGTTAATGTTACATTATTTTTACATGTCGAGTGGAATTTCTTTGAAGATGTGCATTCGTGTAATTAATTTTTATTTATGAGACCGAAAATTAATTTGATTAATTTTATAATTTAGAATAATTTACTACATATTTGTAAGTTTGTGTTAAAACTAAATTTTTGTTGATTCCTTTGTTTATGTTGTAATGTTGCTTATTTTACAATGTGGTGAGCAATTCCCTCTGAACGTGTGTAAGGTCGGAATATTTTCTCATGTGTGTGACGGAGGGTTAATGCTATTTATATTATCTAAATTTGTTTTCTTTATTTTAAATATACTATTTATCTATGACTTTCCTTTAACTTTTATTATAAATCAGTTTATCTGATAATTTAAACGATTTAAACGAAAGTCATCAGTTTATTGTACAACACATTTATGTACTTTCATCTTAGATAAATATACTAGATGCGGCGAGGGTCGATGGTGGGGACTACCGATATATATAGCATACTAAATTTTCAGTGTATGTTAGTGCTGCCCTCTTCAACTTTTCGCCATTTCCAAGGATACCGCTTGGAAATCGCGTTTTTTGAGTCGTGAAAGGCTAGAATTTCATTTCTCGCCAATATCACTACTTTTCTTTTTTGAAAACAACGTGTTTTTCAATAAAAACTAATCAATCAATTTTTTAAAATAAAATTTTTAAAAATAAAGAACTTTTAATTTAAAATAAAAAAACCTAATTATTATTTTTAATTAACTTTCTTATAAATAAAATAAAATATTTTGATTATTAATTGTAATTAATTTCCTTTATAATAAAAAGTTATTAATTATTTTTTTAATTAAAACAAAATTTTTTAATTATTAATTAAATTAATTAATTTAGTTATTAAATGTATTATTAAAATAATTTATTTAATTATTAAATTAATTATTAATTAATTTTTTTAATTAGTTAAATAACCCCACATAACCTTGGAGTGCGGAATCCAAGGTATCTGTAGGCAGATTTCCCAAAATTCCCTAAGCAAAAAAAAAA